AATGTCGTTGCCAAGGTGCGTAAGGAAGCCCTCCTGCATGCGGTGAAGAAGCGGCAGTCGCCGATGGGTTGTACTCCATCGACCTTGTGCGCATGGTGCTGTAGCACATCCAGTCACGAGTGCCTGAGTCACGCAGGCGTACTGAGCCAGCAGCGAGGCCACTCGGGACCAGCGTTGAAACGATGAGGGGTCCAGCTTTGAACGTAAGCAGAACCGGCGCAGCGTTTGTAGGAACGCTGCGTTCGATTAACTAACCACGTGGTTCCCTGCTGTTCCTTTATTTCAGGTGATGGGTTTGCTATCATTTCTTAATGCTAATTTTTTAGCTCATTTTAACGTCTACCTGCATATATTTTTATTAACTTACTCTGGTCGCTTAAGCTAATTGTGGTTAAGTTCGCTAACAATTTTGCTTTTGTGAAATTTTTCAAACATATATTTTCTGACATCTTGCACTTTTCGCGGATTTGTTAATAACTAATTTATTACATATGCTCATTTGGTCTAGGTTTATCTCAGCAGTTCCGTATGCTTTATTTGATATTTATTATTGGTTATAGTTATTGCAAGTAATTAGCTGTTGTTTGACATCCCCGGTGTGTATACGCTTGATGTGCCTGTTGACAAGGTGCCTACCATCTGTTACCCACTACCTCGTTTATTCTGGCTCCATGAGATATCTAATCGTTGCTGGAGGGGATGAAATGCATGGTCCTGATGACTGTGCTGGGCTCTAACAGGGCTTCCATGCACTCAGTGTTCAGTGTTCCAAGGTCCATCCACCGCCTTGTGTGTGTTTGATTCCTAAATACAGCTTTCTTGTATTTGCCTCTGAAGGAGTGTGGGTCGGTTCCGTTGATGAAACTTGGCTCTCATCCACATGCCTCCAGGTCTTATTCCTTTGGGTTTACACTGGATATGGGTGGGTGGATGGAGCTGTGGGTGGTGCAGCGCAAACCACCCATGCTACCTCTGTAGGCGCAGGCGTCCTGTGGCTTGCTCACAGTGACAGGCAAATCCGAAACGGGATGCCGTCAACCATATACATATATATATATATATATATATTATATATATATATATATATAGAGATATATATCGTAGCGTTTATTTTCGGCGTAACCGGTTGGACCTTCACTGCCATTTCCGAAAGCGATTTTAAATGATATTGGTTGTTTTAGTTTACATAATGTTAGATACCAATCTCTGTGGAACCATGAGTGCTGCGCCGTCGTTTTTTGTTTCAAGGGACCCTCAGCTGCTTTGAGTTAGGCTACACGTATCTTCTAACCAACTAGATCGCACTACGCTGTGATGCAGTGGATAAAAGAAGAGGTATTTCAACCCCTCAAGTCGAAACTGGAGCACAGAAATAATAAAATGATGATAGTTTACAGAGATTGGTGAAAATACTGCCGTGCATATTGACTCCATGAAAAGCTTCCACGATAAGTGTAAAACGCCATATGGCTCACATGACTCCATGAACTCTACTGCTCTAAGTCGTAGCACAATGTTTGCAGTTGGGCTTGAACACTGAGCGACAGACAGTATAGTTTCCACAAGTTTGGCTTTAATGCTTAGTTGACTCTTTCAAACAGTTTTCTTAGTTGCTCCAGTGCGCATTTGTGGTATCCGGTGTCTATTTAAAGGTTGACGAACTTAGAATCGAAACAACTGATTTTCATAATGTGTACATACGCAGTAACACATACAGACATGCTTATTTGACTGCGTTCTTCATGAATTTACTGCTTCGCGGACTAATGCTATCTCGTCCCTGATTAAGGTTATTAGAGCGCATCTGTGTGGGATGAAGTACGCAGTTAGGAGCACTCAGTACTTGCTACACGTTTACTAGTCTCCAAGCAAATAACTGAAATAAAACAGGAAATGCGGTCACTTTTCAGCAAGTTTTGTGAGCAGAAAAAATACCGGTTTTTTAACTACAGTTTTGAAGGAATCTACATTCTGGTCAGACTACGTTCACTGTACTGTGTCTGACCTATATTATCATTAAAATTATCTGACACAATACAGGAAGAACTGCGAGGACGAAGCAGGAAATTGTATTAAACAACACGTAGCCAACTTAAAAGAAGCGAATAAGTATAAAGAAATGGAAAAGAACGTTACGGCTAACAGTCTCCTTCAGCTTCTTACCCAGGAATGGGACCCTGAAAAGCAAATCAGAAGTGCCACTTTAGCAACAATTAAATTATCTTTCGCGCGCTTATCTTGCGATCGTTCCATACATTACCTCCAATACTAATAAAAATATAGTCCAGAAGGACGAAGCTTGGTTTCAGACACAACAACTTGGCGGAAATCTGTCCATGAGCCCAGTTAACAATACGACCGTACCTACACTGTATTAGTGTTTGGTTCGTTTGATTCAAGGCGGTTGGATGCAGCGCCAACAGCTACTGCAACGCCCTCTCTTTGCAATGAAGTAGATGCGGGTCAGCGGTGACATTGGAAACGAAATAGAATTAAAGTGAAACCACAATTGTAGGGGTCGCTTTGGCACACTCGATGCATGATTGGATTTCGGCGCGTAATTTCAATGTAGACTAGGATTCGTAGTTAACTTTCCACCAACCTGTGGAGCGAAATTAAAAATACAATAGTAGGCAGGAAAAGAATAATTCCATCCATATAAAAGAGTTAGTTCCCATTTCTTGCAGTAAGCAATTATCTTATGTTTTGTCTAATTTCCATCTTTAAATGGTTCAACCTGCATATGCTTAAAAGAACACAATTTAGCGTTTTGAAGCAAATAAGTGCTCTATTGCGACGGCTGAAAATGGCAAAAGTCGACTTTTCTGATGCATAAATGGATGTCAACATGTAAGGTGTGTGAAAATGGCTGTGTACCTCTTACTAAGCATATGTGCTACGCTCCTACAGCCAACATTTGGAAATTACGGCCGTAAACAGGAATTTCTCCATTACATACAAAATTTCAGCAACCGTTCCTGACCTTCGGAGGCTAGCCACTGTCATCTGCTAAGGTAGCAACCTTCGTGACAGTTGAAGATAAGTTGTGATATATTGCAGTTAGCTTGCAAATTGTGTAACCCAGCCGGTGTCCCCCATGGCTCAGTGGCTTAAGCTGTTGGCTAGTTGGCATCTGCCTCTAGCCGTCATGGGTTCGATTCCCAGTAGGGGACCGAAAAAATGCGCACCGCTGAGGAGCCCAAATAGGTTGAATCGCGTCTGGTGTTTTTATGGACTGGGCTGTTGTATGTAGCGTGGGAGCAGCTTGGGGTGAACATATATCAATTAAAATTGTTGCGGGCCCGTCCAAAATGCCCGCAAAAACACGCCAGAAACTGCGGAATAATGGCTGTGGGAAGCGGGGTCCAATTCCTCCCCAAAACGTAGCAATGATCAGCCACTCCGAGACGCGGCCCAACTGCGCACGCGTTGACAATGGTCGTTTCCAAACTATCACCTCGTCATGGTAGAAATTTTCCCTAACTTAAGGACCCATAGTACTGGCTGTGATCGCTCTTTGTCGGTCGTAAAAGAGCCCACAGAGGGCCACTTCCCTTTTCTTTCCCTTCGCCTCAGTTGGGAGTCGGTCGGGTCACGTGATTGCTTGGGAGTCGTTAGCTGGCCAGCCTTCGCGTCTAAGTCATTAGCGCGCGTCTACCGTAAACCCCCCTCTCGGCTGCGTCTGTTCCGAGGGCTCAGCGTCTATCCGAACACTTGCGGCTAGGATTGTTCACAAGCTCGCTCAATTATCCGCCTCACCGGCTAAGCTAGCGTCATCAGAACAGCGCAATTCCGTTCGAGTGGTCAGCGTAACAAGCCGTCATCGTAAGCGTGCTCCAACCGTGCCAGCGACACTCTTAGCAGGCAATTACGCAATCATATCAAGAGGCGGCGTTCCCTCAATTATAACACAATGCTTCATTCTCATTCGTAAAACAAAAATCGTTTGTGCTCAGTAATTCAAAAATTTGGTGCCATAACATATTGTCCCCAGTGTAAATGTCTTTTAATAGCGTTTTCACACCAACAAGGCTATAAGCATGACTTTATGTCCACCTAAAATTCATAGTGGTGGAACGCTACCGGCTTCGCCATGAAGTGCACCTTGGTCAATTGGATCATTGAGACCGCAACCGATGAAGCAGTTGAATGTTGTGTTACCCGCTTTGAAAAGACTTCACTTCATCCTACACAGTTTGTCCATATACTCAACAATATACCTTTGTAAAAGGTGTCGACCGTTGTGATCCGGTGGCAGAGGGGGACTGGTTTCGACTAACATCGCAAAGGCCCTGGGTTCGATGCCTACTGTCGATAACTGCTGAAATCAAAGTAAAACCATGTAGGGGGTCATTTTGAAGTAGACGTTGTGTGGATGGATACCAATGAGCCATCTAAATGTTTATCGCGATTCCCATTGAAGTGAGCCTTGGTCTTTAGCTCATGGGGACCGCAGCTGCTAACTTTATCTAATGAGATATAGCGACAGCGAAACGCGT